ATAAGGTATATATTTACAATATTCAGTCTATTAAATTTATTTACACCCTTGCTATACTATACGAATATGTCTTCAATCAAACTTCCAATCAAACTCTTTCATGTAAGTAATTTAAACCCATTAATTATGATTTTAAATATCACAGGTTGTAAGCAGCTGACGAGAACTAACGTAATAAAAATGTATTCATGCTATTCTGCTAGAATGTTTGTTCTTGCTCTTTTCAAAATGATTGAGGGAACTATGTGTATGGAATTATGTAATCGTGATATTTTTGAATTAAAGTATTATATACTTCATTATTCATATTTTTATAACAGAACGATGAATAGAATATCTTCACAGGGTGTTGTAGAACATTTATAAAGTAATTATGTTTAAGTAATGATAAATTCATTTTAAAATGATATTTTATTATCCATAAGCTATCTGTTATTACAGTTTCATTATACCATATTCTCTTGCACTACAACTTGATACAATAAATAATTCGGGATTATAAAATATTACTTACTTACGCCTGCTACTCCCGATGGAGCATAGGCCACCGACCAGCGTTCTCTCACCCACTCTGTCCTGGGCCTTCTTTTCTAATTCCATCCAATTCTTGTTCATTTTTCTCATGTCTATTTCCTTTTTCCCGGTGTAATGTGTTCTTTGGTCTTCCTCTCCTCCTTTGGCCTTCAGGATTCCATGTGATGGCTTGTCTTGTGACACAGTTCGGTTCTCTCCTCAATATGTGTCCAATCCACTTTCAGCGCTTCTTCCTGATTTCTTCCTCCACTGGGATCTGGTTTGTTCTTTTCCACAGTTCGTTGTTGCTAATAGTGTCTGGCCAACGGATCTGAAGTATTTTACGTAGACAACTGTTAATAAACACCTGTATCTTCTGTATGATGGCTTTGGTAGTTCTCCAGGTTTCCGCCTCATACAGTAGAACTGTCTTGACATTTGTATTGAAAATCCTGATCTTGGTGTTGATTGACAGTTGTTTTGAGTTCCAGGTGTCCTTCAATTGTAAATATACTGCTGTTGCTTTACCGATCCGCGCTTTCATATCTGCATCAGATCTACCATGTACATCAATAATGCTACCCAAATATGTAAAGACTTTTACGTTTTCCAAATCTTTTCCGTCAATTGTGATTGGATTGGTGCATACTGTGTTGTGTCGGAGAAATTTTCTTTTGTCTTAATATTTCATCAACACAAAATATCGAACGAAATTGCTTGTTGACTGATAGTATTCAAAACAATAATGAAAACACAATAGAATCGAATGATTGTTTAATTCTACCAGATAACATTTCTAGCATTAAGTAATCAGCACTAAATTACAGTCAAACCCAGGAATTCCCAGTCTTGGTACATTTGGTGCATCAGACCCTTGACTGTTTCTACCTGGTTTTCAGCAACCCTTCAGTTAAAGTTCAACTGTGGTGGAATTTTTCATTAAATAAGTGAAAAAAATATTAAAAGACCATTAGATGCATTCCAAGTAAGGACCGGAGTCAGACAAGGCTGTCTACTGTCTCCCTTCCTCTTTCTTCTGGTCGTCGACTGGATTATGAAAACCTCGACATCTGAGGGAAAACACGGAATACAATGGACAGCTCACAACCAATTAGACGATTTGGACTTCGCAGATGACTAAGCCCTCGTATACAATACACACGAACGAATGCACATAAACACAGCCAGTGTAGCAGCAGTATCTGCACCAGCATGCCTCAACATACAGAAGGGCAAAACTAAGGTCCCCTAATACAACAAACATATGCAACTCAAAACAACTGCCAACCAATCTCAAAGTCAACGTCTAGACAGTTAGTTCTACTGTATGGAGATGAAACTTGCAGAACTACTACAACCATCATCAACACTGTACAAGTATTTATAAATAGTTGTCTACTCAAGATACACAACATCCATTGACCGGATACCATCAGTAACAGCCAACTGTGGGAGATAACAAACTAGCTTCCAGTTGAAGAGGAAGTTAGGAAAAACGATGGAAATCGATAGGACATACATTACACAAATCATCAAACTGCATCACGAAGCAAGCCCTAATTTGGAATTGTCAAGGAAAGAGGCATATAGGAAGGCAAAAGAACACATTACATCGTGGAATAGAATCAGATATGAAAAGGATGAATAGGAACTGGAAGGAGCCGAAAAGTATTGCCTAGGACAGGGTTGGATGGAGAATGCTGTTGAGTGGCCTATGCTCTTTCACGAGGAGTAACAGGAGTAAGTAATTAGATAACTGCAATAACTTGTTACATGTGCAAAATACATAGTGTGATAATACTTTACTAAAATTAGAGTTAATAATTTAAGGGCACATTTATAATTGATTGTACACATTCGATTTTATTTTCTTCATTTATTGTGTGAGTTGTGTAAAAATTAGTTTTTTTCAGTTATTCATTTGACAACGTTTTCTGAAGTATGTACTTGTACAAAAATAATAACTTAATATTTGCTTTTCAGTAGAAATGAGTTATGTTTTGAAGTTATGTTTTCTTCATCAAAGTCATCTGTCTTTTTTTTTCAAGTTTAAATTAGTTTATGCTATGTTTTTTTTCATTTATATCTCTCTTACTACCGTAATTCTGACTGTACTCCCGAAGGACTTGTTACTGAACTTATAAATAATAATTGTAACCTTAATTGAGTTATTATTTGGTGTCTTCAATAAATATCTCCTCGAAATTTAACATTGGAATACTTGGAACTAAAAGTAATGGTAAATGTTACGTATACTCATTAGTCTTTTTTTTCGAACATTTTACCAATTATTATTAAATCTAAAAGAGTAAGATACGTAGTTTTGTCCTCATATAGTATGTACTAAAAGAAACGAGATAACTCGATGTGTAGTCAGAAGAAAGCTAAATAATTGCTACAGGTCTTAGTTCCCACGACAGTACATTATACTATTGTAGTGGACGAAAACACAAGTGAGGCATTCGAATGAATTTGAACGCAAAAATTACAGAATCTCTTAGTAAAATCTGACAATCATACAGTGAATACTCAATTAGCAAAATATCAATCATTTGTCTCAAACTTGACTTTTCTTTTGCAAATACCAGTCATTCGTCTCAAATTTCATTGTGCCTGCATTTTCATACCAATTATTTACCGTTTCCGTTCTTTCCTACTCTTTCTTCTACTGAAATACATTCTGTTCCTGACTACTGTTATATACTACTTATGTGGATATAAGTAGCTCACATCACACTCGTCCACTTTTTAAGGCAGTCGTTCCTGCGGTGGTTCTGCTCGCCGTGCCACTTTCTCCTTTTCTGAAGTCTGTGCCACGCTCTCCGTCAAAATATCGAGTCTGTGGTGCACTGACACCTATAGCTCCATAAACCTGCCGGTGCAGCAACATCCAATATCCAGCCGGCACCTGGGACGCTCTCCAGAAACCTGAGCCGCACGTCCCATCGCTCCTCTCCGTTGACATCACCCGCTACACTATTATTTTGTAAGGATTTTCCCTTCATCCAATCATGATTATGTCGAACAGAATTAAACGTATGATTCAGCCGAATTCGCTGAGTGGCCTTAAAATCCTTCCAGTATGCTGTTGAACATACTATTGTTTAAATATAAGACAACCATCTCCTAATAATCGATTTTCTATTACGCATTTTCATTAGTAAGAATCATCACAGTGAAATGATCATCATTTGACAATATTCAATGGATAAATAAACAAAATCGAGCATAAAATGAGTAACTATCCAAATAAGAAGTTTGCATAGAAACTATGAAATGTTTGTATTTTATTCAATAGCTTTATTATGTTATTTGAAGCTTCTATAAACAGACATTATTTTAATAAAAAACCATAACTCTTACTTAAAATGCAATAATTTTAACGATGTGAACTAAGTGATGTTTTTCGGACTATAGATTTTTAAAAAATGATTGTAACTTAAAAGAGGTTCACCCTACATTCCAACTGTATACAAAAGTCAAATCCGAAACGTTTGACGATAATCCCTACAACAGTCATAGCAAATCTGATGATTATTCATTGCTTAAAAAATTTTAATCTCGCTAATTTCATGATTGGCGTTCATGAAGTTTCTAAGTCGCTCATTTCTATAAATTCATTTATGTAATCATTTAAAAGCAAGACTACAGATAACAATTTTATGAGGAAAGTCCTCCTATTTGATCTAAACTAATCTTAATGGCTTGAAATTGAAATGTTTCTACATATTACGATTTAACAATATAAACTACAAACATCGGAAACGTATTTTCTGGGAGCTTTCAAAAATAAAGGCTCCAATTTTATCTAATTAAACATGAATCGTTGGTCATATCCATCGAATATTTTATTTATAAATCAGTCTAGTGGAATACTAAATTATGATGAATTACCAAACTTCTAAAAAGTCTACAAAATTTGCATGTTTTAGAAATCACTTTTATGGGACCTATCTCTGTGGAAGAAAATAAGATCACTCGAATCAACACTACCTTTGATATCCTTTTCAAACTATACATTCGCTAATTCTTCACTTTTCAAAATTTATTAAATTCTTAAATACTTTATTACTTACGTCAGTATTTTCGTATAACAACCTATATATTTATCAACATTTTATAGGATTTTTCTAGCCGATCATCTCTAAGTTTCACTGTAATTCATACTTTTAGGTATATATCTTTCCAGAAAATTTAAAACTGAATTTGATTAACTATATTAGTTTCTACAGATACATATATCTTCAAGTTTACAAACGTTCATTAGTCAGTTGATCTGTAAAATTACTTACGGTCACGAAACTAACGGCAGAATACTTCTTTTTTTTTAAAAAAATTGAAACCTTTAATATTTTCAAAAATTTTAACTTATAAATTCTGTTACTAGTATACCGAATGACATATACTTAGTAACACCATCACCAGGATCCCCACCACCACACCATCCTTTTAACAAACAACTAAAAAAGTCGATCATTACATAATATGTTCTATCTAATAACAATTTATTCCCCCTTTTCTTTTTATCTCTCAAATGAATAACAAAATCACATTTAAAATTTATATCAAAAATCAAAATGTTTCAGTAGTATTGAACACTTCAATATAACATGATTTTTCACATTCATAATAAGTTTTATCACAAATAATTTTACAAAAATTCATTTTAAAACATTTATATTCACATGTCATAAATGTATATTGACATAATTGTAAACAATCTATTAAATGTTCACGATAATTCTCTGTAAGAATAATTCCTTTACATAACATAAATATCATTAAATGAATAATTAGTATTAAATAAATATTATGATACATTACTCAATATGATAATTGTCTCTGAAGGTTAATAGATTTGTATAAAATTTCTAAAAATATAAACATACAAATGATATGAAATTCAAAAAATATCAAAACAACGTTGTTTTTTTAATTATATAGTGAAAATTTCCATTTGGACATTTGATAAATAAAGAAGGAATGAATTGAATGAAGAAATGTCTTTCAATTAGTTATTCATCATGGCTCTACACTGTTATATATATATATATATATGAAATAATACTCAACGAGTGGATACGTCACGTAATGATTACATAATGACATTTCAATTATTAAGCAACGTAGCAACTTCTTGCTTTTCAAATAATTACTTTGATTATAAGCAAAGATGGATAGTAACTAGCCTTGGAATCCAGGATGCGCGTTTCGTCCTATTTGAGACTTGTCAGCTGGATGTACCTGAATCCCACAGTTGATGTTCACTATGGCACTCAAACCCAGTACTGTTCGCTTCAAACACCATCGTGTTCTCCATTTAGCTACTGAGTCCTGATAGCCACTTGGTTGTACAATGGGTTCCAGTCTCAGAGTGAAAATCAACTATAAGATGCAGGTTCATCCAGCTGACGAGTCCCAAACAGGACGAGACGCGCGTCCTGGATTTCACGGCTAGTCACTATCCATCTTTGCTTATAATGCTTGTGAATTAAAGTAATATCGAGGCAATACACATAGTGTGCACATATGCCAACAAGAGACTGATCAATTTCAGTCCTAAACATCAATGGGATTCACGTAAAACAATACCAAGTGAATTAATTACTTTGATTATTATTATTCCTCTTTTTTCCAATTACTCAATGTTAATTTTTAATTGAAATGTCATTATGTAATTAATACTTAACGTATCCACTCGATTAGTATTATTTCATTATTGTAAATCATATATATATATGTATTAGTGTAAAGCCATGATGAATAACTAATTGAAAAGAAATTTCTTCGCTCAATTCGTTCCTTCCTTAGTTTTTTTAAAAATTATAGTTAGTTTTTCTTCTTTAATAAACCATGAATCTTACTTGAGGATCAGTAACATTACTTGATTGTATGAATAAGATTCAAGCTTGTAACTTAGTGTTTAAAATTTCGACATTTTAACTATTAAGTTATAGGTCACTGAAAATCATGTAATTTAAACTATGAATGAATAAAAAGTTATTGAATATAACCTTTTGTAGTTTAGTTATAATCAACTACAATTCGAAAACACCGTTTTCTATTTTTATTAAAACCCTCTTTACATTACTTTGATTACCCATTTAACCTCAGTTTGCAGTGATGTCACAAAGTGAATAATATCATAAAAAGGTTATTCCATTACATAATCCATAACTATTTCAGGTTTCCCTGTTTGTATTGGTCAATATGATTAATATGATATCGATTATTCTAACATTTATTAGCTGGTTCCAGAAAGCCAATCTTTAGAACCAATTCAACAATGTTAGAACATATATTCTCTAGTTTAGTTATTAACATATATATATGATACTACTGCACCTAAACTGCATGAGTGTTCAGTGGAATTCTTATTTCTCAAATTTTGATTTGTCCACGTATTGAATCAGATTTAAAATAGTAAGTGTTCATTGAAGAGAGATCATAAATAAAAACACCTAATTTGATATATTAAGTTTTCTTGCATAGATAAACTGCCAATAGTGTTTCATTTAGTAGAGATTCCCAAAATCTTTAATGAATATAAATATATTAAAACTAAGATTTTTGAACACTCAATAGTTGTATTTAGTTTCTTTTAGTTGAATAACCAGAATGTCGAAATTCAAAACATTAGAAACTGTACATTTTAAGTTCTGTTATTTATAAAATTCATTCCCTTAAGTAAGTATGAGTATAAACCATATTTCTGTGATCGTTTATTCGGTTAATAACTACTACTAAATACAATTGAATGTTATAATCAAATTACTTTTCACTAATTTATGAAGTTTAACCTAGACATAACATTTTGTTACTTTCGATTTGTAATATTTGGTAATTATACGATGTGAAAACAGACTGTTCATTTATGTATACATATACATATATGCCACTGGGTAATACAGTGTGAATAGATACATAGATTATTGATTATATGTGTAGTTTAATTACGTGTGGTTTTTGAAAATGTCTTATATTTACTTTCATCATCTGTCATTCAGAAGTTTTCAGACATTAGACAAGTATAATACCGAAACTAATTTTTAAGTTGAATTTTCATATATCCATGTCCAACCTTATCTATTCTATATATATCTTTTTTCAAGAAGTTATTATATCAAGATGACATGCAACAATAAAAATTAAGATTTCAAATATACACTTTTCATAAACATCATCTACAAAGTAGACTTTTAGTGTGCTATTATTATTTATGAACTGTTGAAATCGTTTCACTAAACATCATATATATATATATATATATATATATATATATATATATATATATATATTGATATAACGAACTTTTATTTCAATATCTTTGAAACAACTAATCACTAAATTCACTTGATGTTGTTTTACTTCTATTTTCCCATTGTTATTTAGGAATGCAATTGATCAGTCTCTAATTGGCATATGTGAATCCTATGCGGACTACCTCGATATTGCCTTGATTCACAAGCTTTATAAGCAAATATAGATAGTGGCTAGCAGTGGAATCCAGAAATAGAGTTTCGTCCTGTTTAAGACTCGTCAGCTAGGTGTACGTGCATCTCACATTTGATTTTCAATTTCGGGCTCGAACCCAGTACCGTTCGCTATAGGAAGGAACACGCGTCCTGGATTTCACTGCTAGCCGCTATTTATCAGGATTGAGTAGCTAAGTGGATCACACGATGGCGTTTGAAGCGAACAGTACCGGGTTCGATTCTCGGGGTGAAAATCAACTCTGGGATGCAGATACATTTAGCTGATGAGTCCCGAATAGGACGAAACACGCGTTCTGGAGTCCACTGCTAGCCACTATCCATCTTTGCCCAATAATAATAATAATGATATAGAAATTGCTGAGAAAAAATTGTTAATGATAAACATTGAAGAAAACTATGCTTTTCATGAAACTACTTTTCGATGTCAATAAACGGAAATGTTAAAAAAACAAAGTTTAAAGCGAAAAAAATAACATCCAACTGTGCAACTAGTGGATAAACATTGATAATAAAGAAAATCTTTGACTAACAGTAGTTAAATCAATGAAACTAAATGAAAATTTGATAAGTAAATTAGAAAAAGAATATTACCGGTTGTACAGGATAATAAATAAACTCGTCGCGTTAGATAAACAATTGGATTGATAAAGGAATATACTGATACGCTACTGCTATATAAAATGTATAAAACAGCTAAAAATACTGTCACTACTGATTAACAGTGGTAAGTAGTATCGAATTTAAAAAAATGATTCATAATCTTAATGATTTGAAGATAGTTTCTATCAGTGGCTGATTTTATCTAGAAAATTATTGAAAATTAGAAAGCATGAGATAACTGTTTTGTTCTCATTAGATACTCTATAGGAATGTACGCCTACAGTTTTAAGTACGATAAATATGAGGGATTTCTACTCTTTGAGGTAATACAGATTTAAACCAATGAGTAAAAATCCAGGTGTTCCTACTTTCAATTTTAGTCAAAGAACTCTTAATGTCATCAAAAATTAAAAGTATCGACTTCCAAATGTTAAAGCTTTGTTATTTTCCACTAGTCAATAGTGTTGAATGAAATCTCTTAATAATATTTAAATCGATTAGTCGATAAGAATATAGTATAAGAAAGAGCCGAAAGCAATAGAGATAAATTCTTAGCCAGTTCTTAATCGATCGGAAAACAACTTCTGTTAATTTATAGTTTGTGGATAATTGAACAAAAATATTGCACTAGAAAAGACATATTTCATGTCATCAACAAAGCTGGCAACATTTTACACAGGTTACTCTACCTATAAGTTGGAAAAAACAATAATATCTAAATCCGTGTGGGGTCGTGGATGCGCACTGCTGAGGAGTCCCATACCAGGACGAAACGGCCGTCCAGTGCTTCCAGGTTTTCCATGGTGGTCTAGCTTCAATTGACTCAAGGTTTTAACCTTTTCACAAACACACCTGAATATGTTATCCAATTAATTGACATAATGATTTATTAAAACAAACAACGGAACAGATAACTTGTTGAAATATCTAGATGTCAGGAACAGGTATCCCAGATATTCAAGCAGGCCTCCTTACTATTTTAAAACTCAGATGTTACAAATTGCTTTCTTGTTTCTTTGCTTATCATCATCTTGTTACAATATTTTACAGGTATTTTTTTTTAAGTTAACTAATGCATTATATAGGGATAATAATGTTTTGTTCAATCTTCCGCAAATTTTCCTAATAAATATATTACTTTTATTAGTGAGCATGATTACAGTTGCACAGCTTCAGAAATATAATATTATGCAATATATTTTCATTTGTCTATTATATGTGGTAATCATTATTTTTAAATATTGTCCTATGAACATTCTCAACTCTCGGCCAGGACATATTGAATACATCATTATCTTAATCTCATGCTACCCAGGTTAATTCATTCAAAGAATATTTAGTTAAACTCTGAATAAATAACATTACACAATAATGTAATTTATGAGATTGATCATTTAAATCATTAATGTACTAATTAAATAGTTAAATTCATAAGTTAATTGAAACTAAACCACCATGGAAAACCTGGACACACTGGGCGTTCGCTCGCGAGACCGATAGGACCTGGGTCCGAATCTCGCGGGGGGAGGGATCGTGGATGCGCACTACTGAGGAGTTCCATACTAGGACGAAACGGCCGTCCAGTGCTTCTAGGTTTTCAATGATAGTCTAACATCAATCGGTTCATGATCTCAATCCAAAACAGTTCCCTTGGCCGAACTTCGTGTTTTTAATGTTTAAATATGAATTATCTGTCAAATTTAAAAATGTCAACATTTTTTTCCTATAATCAGTCCTAAGTAATTTAAAGTTAATAATTCTATCTTCATAATTATTCATTCAGTCTTGAATATTTAAGTCATTCATATCAGTTCGAATATGAATCATTTCACTTGTGACATGTTGCGCATAAATATTTATTGTTCATATTATAGAGTAGACCCTGTCTTGTGACTAGGGTTACATTAATTGATTTATTTCATATTAATCACCTTATATTCAGACTATAAATAATAAACTTATCATTTGAAAATGACTAGACTATTGTACAATGTACAATTGTTTTCGACTATATTTACTTAAAATCTATTCCATTAGTGTGTCGAGAATGCTTCATTATGATTTCTGCCTTATATTTTTGACAAAAATGAATTATCACAGATTGAAATCATGAGTCAGTTGAAGCTAGACCACCATTGAAAACCTGGAAGCACTGGACGGCCGTTTCGTCCTAGTATGGGACTCCTCTAGCTTCAACTGACTCATGATTTCAATCTGTGAAAATTTCTAAAATGTCCACAAACCCCTTCTGATAAAAATGAATTAATATACATTTTTCATGTATGTTGAATATTATTATATAGATTAGCTTGATTTTTAGTTTGAGACAACTACTGTTTATCTTTTATAAGTACCATAATGTCATTTAACTAAAATTTTAGATTACCGTCACCTTATAAACATTTTTTTAATGATTAGGACATTTTAGTGTTGAACGAACAGGATAATAACAAAAATAACAATATATTTTGCTAAATACCAGTGTATAGATTATGTATAACTAAGAGATTGGACTTAATCCAAGAATAGTTTATGTCATACATTAATTAAAATTAGTTTATATGAATTGTGACTGATAGTAGAATGTAAGTTGAACGTTTCATTCATTTTGAATGTCATTAGGTAAATTTTCAGATTAAGACTCAAACACAGACCTTATTACTTCAAACGCTAACCTATTATCCATCACGTTATTGACTTTAGACAGACTTTGGATTGTAAAAGTGGTATGATGTTATATGTAATAACTTACGTTTTTTTGTATATTAAGGACTGCTTTCTTGACTCAGTGATTTGATGAAAATCCCAATGATATTTAAAGGATTAGGGATCAAATTCGAGTTTTCGCGTAGATATCAAGGGTTTTGCCTAATATATCATTTGGCGAGTTGCAAGTAAGATTTTATTAAAGACAGATCCGAGACAATCCACTCAAGATACACACATGATGATTGAAACTGGTCAACTGCAGTCCTTAAAATGTTAATAACCAGAAAAATCAAACTCATACGGATACCTTCCATGAACATTAGTAAAATTTTGTTTAATATTATTTATTTTATAATTTGACATCCACTAAGGTTTCTTTGGGTTATCTCTCTGAAAAGATTTACTGACTTGAGAAATGACTCTTCGTTGTTATCTAATTAAAACGAAGGGTTTAGATAAAGGATAACAGTGTTATCATACCTGACATACACTTCTTGCGTTTGATTCATTTCGTGATGATACGTATACACTGTTAAATAGTTTGAAAGTAAAACATGATATCTATTCATTACTTCTTTATATTTGACAATTATTTAGCTGATATCATTTCATAACACAAACTTTCTTCAATCTAAACCACTGAATTAAATAATTCCTCATTGTTTCATAAAAAAAAAATTATAATGTCATCCGATTTTGTATGCTATAGGTGCATTCACCCCACTAACCTTTGGTTGACAAGATCAACAGACTATTCACATTTATAAAAACATAAATGTTTTGTTTTATTGGAAATTTCTGTACTACTCGAAAATGGTTAGTAAACATATCAACTAGCAGTGACCTTAGTAACTCAGTTTATTTGAAGACAGTTATGAAACAAAACATTTTCAGTCTTATCAATAAACTCATGTCACTATCATTCTGTTGCGTAGTGTTTATATTCTATTGTAGTCTAAAATAGTGATAATGTAATCACCAGAGAACCTTTACGATTAAATCATTTTATTTTAATAGTCCTTTTTAGAAGTAGACTTATCAGTGATCTGTTGTAGTATGTTATTTTGGATCATAAAACTATTGAACTGTAATTATGTTGATGGCCGAAGACTTGAGTGAGGACAATTGGTTTATGTACAATGTAGAGAAGAATTCGCGAATGAATGTTACTTTATAAAAAGTATTTAGGGGATCATTAAATGATACGCATTCATAAAACCAGTAAATGAAAGAGTAAATGAAATAAGTAAAGTCGTTTATAATTGATACAAAAATTATTCATATCATTAGTCGATTGATAATCAAGACTGTCAGCCATTACATTCTTGCGGACTAGGACTAATTAGACGATCAGTGTAAACTAGGAACACTGTATAGTTATTAATTGATCACTGGGTGGTGACAAATATCATGTGTTTTTTTGAACGACATCATCAGCAGTAACTTCAGGTAGAAGTTTGAAGTTCATGAAAGCTCCACGACTAAACCATCTAGTTCAGATAACAAAACTCCATCAAAATCATCTACTTGAGCTACCAATCTTTTCCACCATCCCAAAATCATCATATTTAGTTTTTTTCTGTTAATATTACTGTAAATTGTTATTGTCTTTTCTCTTCAGAGTTAAATAGATTAAATTTGTCGTTGTTACTGAATTATTAGTCAAGCATATAGATTAATTAATATAAAAAATTTATAGATATTAACATGAAATGAATTTGTATTCATGTTAAGTTTCAGACTAATATCATTGATCCCAATAGGCTATGGTCGAGTAGGTTAACCAATTTAAAAAAGTATAAAATATAAATGAATGCATGCCACATCAGTGGTTTATAAGTAATACACACGGTGAAGCTGAATATCCCGCCGTCAGTCCATAGAGTAGTCGTATATGATCAGTAGATTGTTAATTCAATATTTGGATGCGAAAGCTGATCAGTACTTTCGAATTTTCAGTGATTGTTTATCTAAAGTCTATATGTAGTGATGAGTTTCAACTACATAACATTATCATTAAAATAAATAATTGATAAGGTCCAAAGATTTAAACAAACTTATGAAAAAATTAATCGTTTTTCTTTATTATTTTTTATAGGCTTTAAGTAGTATACAAGAAAGTGTTCATTATGATACTCATAATTATTATTTCTGGTTATTGAAGTTTAAAAAAGAAAACAGAAAAGCGAAATTCCAAACTGAAAATAAACCAATCACCCTTGGACTATGGTTGTGCAAAAAAGGCACAGAATTTCAACATTTTACTAAACTTTATCGACAATATGCATAATTTTAAGTAGAAAGAAAACATTCATAGTGAAGAGAGAAGGAATATTTCATTTTGGTAAAATAAATGTTTTCAGTATATTTATGGTTTTTAAAGTACAGTATTGAAGAGTTAGTTCAACAAACAAAGAAAATGATTTTAATTAACAGTCATTTTATATATATTTCTCTGTAACGAAGTGAGAAGAACATACTTCGATGAGTTTACTTGTTTATAAAATAAAGACATGATTGATATAATAAGAAATCAAGATATGCATTTTATAAGATGTAATAAGCTTTCGTGTGCGAGATCGATAGGTCCTGGGTTTGAAGCCCGCGAGGCAGGGTCGTGGTTGCACACTGCCGAAGAGTCTCACAATAGGACGAAATGGCCGTCAAGTGCTTCAAGGTATTCCATGGTGGTCTAGCTTCAAATGACTCGTGACCTTAACTATTTAAAATTTATGTGTAAGAAGATGATAAACTATCAAGAAATACAAAGATGACTAGTAGAAACCAAGCAAAACAATATTCTCCAGTTAAAAAAGTAATTTTTTTGATTGAGATCATGAACCGATTGATGTTAGACCACCACAAAAAACCTGTAAGCACTGGACGCCGTTTCGTTCTATTGCGAGACTCCCCGGCAGTGCGCATCCCCAACCTCACTCGCGGGATTCGAACCCTGGGCCTTCGGTCTCGCATGCAAACGCTTGGCACACTGGACCACTGAGCCGGCATCTAATTGTGTTAATGTCTAACCTCAATCAATCCACGAAGTTGCGCGACCATTAACTATTTATTACGCCAAATTAAAACTGTTCGTGATGAAAATAACCTTCAAAGAAAATTTCGATAATGTAGTAAGAAGACGAAGATTATCAGAACGATGTGATATATTAACGCAATACATTTCGAACAGTCTGATCACACATATACTCGTTAAGAACATTTATACATAAAAACAAAAGGTCAGCTAGACTGGAAATGGGGCAAGAGGAGGCAAGGATAATAATAATAATCATAATAATAATAATAATGTGAACATAATTTGAAACCTAATCAGTCTGGAAATAATCCAATATTACCAGGGTATTTTTAAGGTGAGAACAAGCTGTTTTAGTATACACCCTTTTACACTTTTATACAACACCAAAAAAAGCCGAGTTAAGATCAATCATATGGACTATTTCGATCATACGTTTAGCAATAGAGGATGATGGATGTTTATCCTCTACTCTTATTGGGTCATTTCATTCTATTTGTTTCTGCAACTATTTTGGTACGTGTTCACACACCCTAATTTTGAGATCGCAATTACTCCTCCCTATGTATATGTGACCACACAAACACACATTTAAATTGGTAAACACAATGGGATGTGACACAATCGTTTTCAAGTCTTTTAAGTTTTGAATGAAGTATACACCTTGTTCTTTCATCGATAATGACCTTTGTTGCACAATACGTTTTTTTGATGATTGATTTAAGCCTTTGTTTCAATAAAAATCTAATTGAATCATCTCTGAATGTTAAAGTAATATAAACAGGCTTTTTTTTTCTACCAAAGACTACAGTAGGTCTCATTGTACCATGGAATAAATCATAAAATAAAACAATCTACTTTTAGTTATGTGAAAGAGAAAATTCTTAACATAAACAATAATAATTTTGGTGCCAATATTCTGTAACTTACCAAAAATGTCTAGTTTTCTAATTATTAAACATCTATACATAAAATATATATTCTTTAATGTTAGACTTTATTCTAATAATGTGTATATATAGTGTATATATATATTATATATATATCGTCAACTTAATGATTGGATAAAAAATATCAACTTATATATGGAATAAATATAAACACTATTTAATGATAGTTTAAATATCAATTTGTTTTATTATCTTGTTTATTATAATACAAATATCAATATATAAATCAGGTATAATTTGTTTTAATATTCATAATCATTAAATAAGTTATATATTAACTATTTAAATATCAACTAAATTATTTATAATAAATTGGTAAATTTGATAAAGTTCCGGATATTCTTTGAAGTTATTATTTGTTTATATAATGTTAAATCATAACGCATAGGTTAATTTATTCCTTTTTTTTAGTACTTACTTACTGACATAGTTATGCTTGTTACTCCTCTTGAAGGAGTATAGGCTGCTCAACAGCATTCTCCATCCAACCCTGTCCTAGGCAATACTCTTCGGCTCCTTCCAGTTCCTATTCATCCTTTTCATATCTGATTCTATTCCACGATATAATGTGTTCTTTTGCCTTCCTATATGCCTCTTTCCTTGACAATTCCAAATTAGGGCTTGCTTCGTGATGCAGTTTGATGATTTGTGTAATGTATGTCCTATCGATTTCCATCGTTTTTTCCAAACTTCCTCTTCAACTGGAAGCTAGTTTGTTATCTCCCACAGTTGGCTGTTACTGATGGTATCCGGTCAATGGATGTTGTGTAGACAACTATTTATAAATACTTGTACAGTGTTGATGATGGTTGTAGTAGTTCTGCAAGTTTCATCTCCATACAGTAGAACTAACTGTCTTGACGTTGATATTGAAGATTGTGACTTTGATATTGGTTGACAGTTGTTTTGAGTTCTATATGTTCTTCAATTGTAGGAATGCAACCCCTTGCTTTGCCAATCTACTTTTTTTAGTAGAATATCAAAATTAACAAAGTAATTATTTTGGTCATTATTTTAGTCTCGTAGCTCTTCAACAATATATTTTATATATTCATTTCATTTGAAATTAGTTTAAATATTGTTCTTGATTCATTTTTATAAGAAAAGAAATCGCTTTCAATGTAATATAGCAATTTCTCGTTAAGTGTTATCTTCATACGCTTGACATATCATGGTTAGGAAGGTTCAACAAAGGTTCATCTAATTATAGTACCTAGACTATTAACAGACCAACAGAAATGTGAACATTATTTCTGAAGCTGAAAATATTTTTATCAAATAAACTAGTAAGATTATAATTTATGGATGAACCAATCAGATTTAAGGTAACGAGTCGTGGATTTTGGTGCGAAATTCATTCATTCATATGACTAAATAGAATTTTGGAATTATAGCTAATATCAATTCATTATAGAAACCCTAACTCTAATTCTTATCCCTAACTATTAACTTTAAACCCTGATTCTGATTTTCCACACTCTTTGAACACTAGTTGATAGGTGAATCTTTTCAAGGTTACACTGACGTTGCTCAAATGTCGTCTATTAATCATAGTTGCATCAGCAAAACTTCAAACTGAATGACAATTCAAAAGAAACAATCCAGACCTAGTTACATATTAAAAAATAATAAACATTTTTATACACTTCTCCAGTTAGGCTGAGAGAAAAATTCCTTCATTTTCAACAACATTAGATCAGTTTATCACTTATTTTTCAGGAACTTTTGATCATTAACTTTTAAAATCCAATAATATGAAAGTTTTCCAACTTTACAGAGCAGAATAGCTGAGTAAATTTGAGAACAAATTTCTAAAAATTTATTGCAAAGATACCATGTCGAATATTTACAAAAATCTACTAAAACCAGAAATAGCTGCAAGGGTTTTAGTAAAAAAAAACTCTTACTATACAATATACATGATAAATTCATCAAGAATAAATACATTAACAAACACACTAACTATAAGATTAAGGCAAATAACATCGATAATCTAGCTAAGGAGAAAATATCATAAAAAAAATCCTCATGAGGTAATATGTAACAATTAATTGTCAATAATCCAACAACAATGTTAAAATTTAACTTTAGTAATGTAGAGAAAACAACGCAAAGCCTTATTGAGTAGAAAGTTGTTCTCGGAGATTTCGAAATTCATTGATTCACGAATCCTCAAGCGGTATCTCCTTTACATTCGATATTTCTGGAAAGAGTTTTCCTTCGAACTATTGGTAACCTTTCAAAGGTCAGTTCTGATTTCAAGTTTCTACAGATGAATATAATCAGCATTTGTCAGAGCTCAAGTAGTTTGTCGTTTTTTATGTGTCACTGGAGAATATTGGTCTGCTCCTTGACGATGAAGAATAAATTCTTGTTTTCTCTTTCGACTCCATGAATCAGATCTTTGAGAAATTCTAACAAACTATATAAAAACTTGTAATAGTTTGTTATCATTATTATTATCATCGTCATGACCTCCTATATAGTAAGCGTGCTATCTAAGTTCTACGGACTACATTATATTAAATGTTTTCAAAAATAAGTATTTTTTTAAAAACTGTTTTACTACTATCAAATATTGATAAATTATTTAGATTAATCGTATATCTCGATGGCTCCTGGATTTAAATCAACATTGCTTGCCATGTTTATCGAAACTTACAGCCTAACTAATTTAGATAGTCAAGTCAAAATGACAAAATTAATTAATATTCAATCTTTTAAAAATATTTCCCTTTAATTTTACGTTTAACAACTGAACTACTTAATAAGTTTAATTAGTCAAAATCTATATCTAAAATAAATCTCATTGAATAAATCCCATTTAAACGTCATTAAGGTTTTTAAAGAAAATATTCTATTCACAAGAAAGTTTGCCAGAATTTATCTGTATTCAAAGAAATAGTTAACTATGCCAAATTGGTTAAGCGAATTGTTTTAGAAGACTTGGAGATATTAGTGAATTACCAACCTGATATATTTCCAAATATTTGGAAATTAGCGTTGTACCGGATAAATCATATAATTAATTCCTGAAATGGTATATGTTACTGAAAACAGTTCTGTTCTACCTTATGGAACAAACTAAAGTAGACATTTGCATAATGCAATATTTGTTCAACTTTTCTTATTTTTCTACAAGTTTAACAACTATATAGAAAGTGAACTGAAAATTCAGATGAGACTGTAATTTATGGACGACTTTTGGGTAGCGCTAGACTGACCGTGAGAGTGTCCACCTAATAACTAGGACCAAATAAGGGTTATAAATTTTAATTTACAGTTGATGGTTAAGGTTAAGAGACCTATTAACTTATACCTGATTTGTTCGTCCATAAATTATAGTCTTGGCAAAATTCATTTTATTTTCTCATCTAACGTTATTTATGTACTTATTCTGTACATAAATTGATTCTATCTATTTTCATTAAATGGTTCATTGTAAATTAGGTTTTCACTTATTTATTTAATTTAATATTTCATGTATATATACTGAGATATACTTAAAATACATAGTTAAATATTAAAACTGTGAGATAATAAGGAGACTTTATATTCCCCATTCTATTCTTATTACGGAATAACCGTAAATGTATGATTTATTTCCACTTTCTTAACTCACCTGACTGTATGGTTTTCTCTTTATTAATAAATTAATCTTAACTTATGTACTGTATTATTTTTAATGAATTTACCTTATATCATCACCTTATAGTAAGTAATATGAATAATTAAACTGTGTTTTTGACTGAAGCTAGATAATGTAGAATGCTTGCTAAACTAATTTCAAGATAACATCAAAAACTAAGATAGGGCTCAGAAGCTGAGTGGATAACGCGATGGCGTTTGAAGCGAATGGTACTGGGTTCGAGTCCCAGAGTGAACATCAACTCTCTGAGATGCAGGTACATCCAGCTGACGAGTCCCAAATAGGACGAGACGCGCGTCCTGGATTCCACTGCTAGCCACTATCTATCATTGCTTACAAATAGCTTGTGAATTAAGGTAATATCGAGGCATACACACAGTATGTACATATGCTAATAACAGACTGATCAATTGCAGTCTTAAACCTCAGTGGGAAGATGCAAGCCGAACAATACCAAGTGAATACTAAGATAGAATTTTTCATAAAAATCAACATACAATCAATATTTAGACTTGCTTCACAGCTTAAATTTTTAAGCTTGAATCTTCTCCAAACAAATAACCAATTTTTAAACTTCTACAACAAATACCCACAGACCTTAATTATATGTTAGTAATTGAACATACTCGTGTGGTGTGTGATACTTATATTGACATAATTAGCATATGATGTTAGTTTCGAACAGAAGGTCTGACAGCAGAGAGACAAGTGGATCGAACAGTAAAGAATGGAAACAGGATGTAATTTGTATGAAAATGCAAGAACAATGAAGTCTGAGTCATTTTGAGACAACTGGTGGACATTTCGCAAATTAAGCATTTACTTTATGATTGTTAGATTTTATTAGCAAGTTCTGTGATTTGTGTTAAATACATTCGATTGTCCCCACTAATGTATATGAATAATGGTAATCTTAAAGCAAATTATTATTAAACGACTAAATTCATTCATTTACATAAGAGTTTTATTCAGATTTCATAGGTAAGAAAATGTCATTTAATCAAGTAATTGTAGTCACCAGCTCTAGTAAATTTTGAGTATAATATTCAACATAATGATTACGGTATGATGGATTTGGAAAGAAATATCATTGTATATTCTTATACTGTTGTTTTTGTAATCATCAATGTTTATATGATAATTAGAAGTATTTGAATTATAAACTAAAAATCCCAGAAATAACGTAATCGGATCAAGAAGTACTAGATAGGCATGAATGAATGTACTGTATTTGGAAGTCGATATCAAGCATTAAACAAGTAAAAAGGAATCATTAGTCCATTGAAACACCACAATTTACTATTCTTATTAAACAACCCATCTGTTATCCATTATGTTAATCTTGAGATTAGATGGTAGTTGGAGGTAGTCAACAGGAAACCCTGAACCCGGGTTCCGTGCTACTTGGCACTCGTCAGCAAG